TTATATTTGAACTGACGAGCTCTGGCTCTCTCATGCCTCACAAGTGCCAGATCCTTACTCAGGATTGATTTCTCCATCTCCTCCCTCACCTACATTGTTCTGTCTTCTCCTCTTCATCAAGTCCGATTAGTCATTATGGGCTTACCTTGGCATTTTTAAGATTTTATGGATAAAAATGTGAAATAAGTGGATTTGACCTGACTTTACTCACGCTGAAGACTGTATTTATCTACCCCAATATATGGCATGCAAACATTGATTACACCGTCTGACCCCTAGGAGAAAAGGAAACACTGTTCTCACAAAACTGAGGGGCAATAGGAGATGTGCAGGAAGAAAATTACTTCCCTGGGGACAAGCCAGTGTCATACTGATATATCCATGGTGGCACAATTATTTATGCCCTTCCCAACAGTTTGCTGTTCAAAGTCTCCCTCTTGATTTAAGAGGGATTTTGTGGGAGGATCAGTAACACTGACTTTTTCCAGCATTATAAATATGAAGTCCTGGTGTCTTAATATGCAGCTCATTGTGGCTGGCAGTCACACTGGCCCCAGACAGTTGTGACCCTTAGAATAAGGTCACTCCTGGCTGCTTCTGGCTGGCCAAATTCATCCCTTTCACAGCCCCGTGAGGTGGCCACAGTCAGGCTCATGGTTTGGAGACTGGAATTAAAAAGAGACTCATGAAAAAGCAAGCTCCATCAGAGCTGGGACCTACCAGAACCACTGCACAAAGCCATCAGATCCATGCACAGCCTCCCTGGTATGGGCTGGTGTTACCCTCAGCGGGAAGGCCAGCACCTAACCCTGTTGCACACCATGCTGCACCTGTGCAAGAGCCGCCTTCCACCCCAACACTCCTGCTCTGAATAACACCACTCTTGAGTGTTTTGCTGGCACTCAGTAAGTCAACATTAAATCTGGTTGGGCTGATAAGAAATAAACCATGTCACAAACTCAGTGATAGTTTAAAAGTTCTCTTTAAAATAATTTCCTTATTAAATCTCTTCCTTCAAATGAGCAAGACTCAGACCATGTATGAATTCACGCTGCAGATCCTGGTCTTGCCGTGATAGGATTTAAACTGGGCTTGTTCATACTCTGGGAGAAAGGTATCATGCATTTCAAAGGCAGGGAAACTGTATTCGTGCCCTTTTATCCACCTTCAGAAAGGGTTCATTGAATACATCTCAGTATGTATTTCTGATGAATATTGGATTGTATTTCTGAATTAATATTTCTGATTAAAAATAATTTGTCATTTTGGAGCCGTGACAGCTATGTGGCACATATAAAGTATGTAGTGTGTTCTGCACGCAGGGTAAATGAAACAGTGTAATTGCTAATTGATATGTGTAAATATGCCTGCGCGTTTATCTCAACTTAGAGCCTGTAATACGTAACATGTCATTAATGCACACATTTTTCATGAAACAAGGTATAAACCCAGAGTCTAACACACCGACCTTGCACAGGTTGCATGCTGTGTCTGTGTAACCTTCTCCCAGCTGACAGCATTTTAAGCAAAGTATTTACACATAAAAAATTTATGCACACATTGTGCACTGAGGCATTGAAATATGGAGCCTTCCGTATGTTACACATATTACATATATGGTATCTATGCCAAATATTTTGGGGAAAGTAAATGCAATTACCCATATGCTCCCCAAACAATGGGAACATGCTGTAAGTGGTGGGACTGGGGAAGCAGCTTGAGAAAAAGCCTTGAGGAGAGGCCTTGGGGAGCCCTTATCAGCATGTTCCAGTGTTTGAAGGGCCGCTACAAAGACAGTAGAGTCTCCCTGTTTAGGAGTCACATGGAGAAGACGAGGGGTAATGGGTGCAAGTCACTCCTGAGGAGATACCAGTTGGACACAAGGAAATTTTTCACAATGGGAACCATCAGCCACTGGAATAATCTCCCCTGGGAAGTGATGGATTCCCCAACACTGGACACTTTTTAAGATTCATCTGGACAGGGTGCTGGGCCATCTTGTCTGGACAGTGATTTTGCCAAGACAGGTTGGACCAGATGATCCTTGAGGTCCCTTCCAACTCGGCATTCTGGGATGATGATTCAGTGATGATGATCCCTGGGGAATATGGAAGCACCGCGGGATGAGGAACACCGCAGATTTCCGGAAAGGAGCAGGCAAGCTTTGATGGCACTCGCTTCGCTTGTGTACGTGCGTGCAGAGAAAAGGCAGGGCTTAAATTCATGTGATAAGATTTCCTCTCTCCCTCTGTGGAGAGAAGGATTCACTCTTCTGAGTATGAAAGAACACGTCCTCCCTCTTTCGCCCGCATGGTTCCAGGGAAGGAGCAGCGGCCTTTCCCTTCCACACGCTGCTCCGGCCGGGCTCCCCAGCAGCCATGCCCGGCATTTCCCGCTCCCACCGCCACGTGCCCCTCGCAAGACCCGCGCCCTGCCCCGCGACGTGCTCTCCAGATGGCTCCACCGCCCTCCCTCCGGTCGCACCGCGCACACTCCGGGCCCGCCGGGCTGACCCGCTGACCTGGATCACAAACAATGCAGACTATCTAATTTTTTATCTATCTATCTCTCTAGATATATATTTCCCTTTTTTCCCACTACAGCAGCCTAGTGCTGAAGTAGGATTCGGTGATAGTATAGAACAAGGCCCTTGGGCGTGATATTTTTTAGAAAACCCTGGAGTAAAGCTGCTATTAGCATGTAGAGTTTGAATGCCACAGGCAGTCTGTTGTCTCTTCATGTTTGAAGAATAATTTAGAGAAGCCACAAAGACTCATTAATAGAAAGTATTAGTTGCATGAAGGCAAAACCAGGTGAAGTTTCTTAGCTTACCACAGACTTACTCTGTGACCTTGGATCAGTCTTTCTGCATCAGTCCTGTTTGCTTATGAATCAGGAATAGTGGTGCCTTCCAGAAATGTACTGTGAATAAATATACTAATGACTGTGAAATGCTTATCTGCTATAGTAACAACAGGTAGATAACGACATTATTTCTACTACAGAAGTGTAAAGGCTTTAGCCAGGGTGCGAGTGTTTTGCTTGCAGAATTTTCCTGTAGTAGGTACTACACTTCGATGGAAATAGTCACTTAAAAAGATGTTTAATGACATAATGCGTGATCTGCACTGTGTGGTCATCTTACACTTCATATTTTTAAAGAGTGTGTGCTAATATGCTTTCAGTGAGCTGCCATTCCACAGTGCAAATAGTTTGTGGGTGTTTTTTCCCTCCCATTTGCTTAGAACAAAGCTGGTGTCCTCTTCCAGTGCCAAGGAAATCTTGTGAATTTGTAATGTGGCTGACTATCTCTGATAGTTAGTATCTCTGAGCTGCATGGTGTTAGATTTGGTGTTTGGGTAGGGAACTGGAAGAGAGGTATTCTGAAATAGATGATATGATGAAGAAATTACTTCTGGCATTGGCTTGTAACTTACTGTGAGACCGACCATTCAGTGGCACTTGCCAGGGTTGGATAGTTGCATTAACTCAATGCTATCTCAGGGTGCCTCTGCATTTGCAGGAAAATATTAAAGGGAGTGACAATATGTT